CCAGCTTTCGCATGCATATGAGGTTACTGAAAATACCATGGCTTGGGTCAGGTGCACCTTAGTCCTCAAGCTGACATACATCTTTGCTCTTCAACACTTTAAAGAAGGTCTTGTGCAGCAGACTTGCCTAATGCAATACGTCATTTGATTTCCTGACTGCTACTTCCGTGAGTGTTGACAGTTATAATAGCCCTTAATGGTGACCTTCTGGCATAGCACATTTTTCCCAGGGTAATGTTGTTGTTAGGTGCCATCGAATCAGCACCAATTCATAGTGACCTTATGCAAAGCAGAACAAAACACTGCCTGATCCTGGGCCAACCTCACTATTGTTGCATGCTTGAGCCCACTGATACTGCCACTTGGCCAATCCATCTTGCTGGGGGTCTCCCTCTTTTTCTCTGACCCTCCACTTTACCAAACATGAGCTCCTTCTCCGGTGACTGGTCTCTCCTGACAACATGTCTGAACTAGTAGGGTAATAGGAGGTAAATATTTATCGCTATATCCAACTACCTACCTACCTATACATCTATACATATATATACACACATGGGCTCATATGTAGAGACATACACACTCATATGATGTTATATATACACATATGAGGGTAAGTAAAGTATTGCTATAAAATCATAAATCTTTACTGAACAAAATACCGAAATGTGAAGTTACTGTTACTCAACATATTTGCCATCTAGGTCTGTTCATTTCTGAAGGTGATAATTTCATTTGTCTAATCCTTCCCCCAAAGAATACTGAACTCATCAATTTACACCACCAAAAAATGGCACTTTTGGCATTCTCAAGGGATGCAAAAATCATGTTCCTTTGAAAAGATCTATGGGTTTTGGGAACAGAAAGAATTCTGAAGAATCAAGATTAGGTTGCGTGGTGGATGGGGTAAGCTTTCCCAATGGAAATCTCATAGGATAGTCCTTGCTACCCTGGAAGAATGAGCAGGTATACTGAGATAGAAAGGAAAATTCTTGGCACAACCTTCCTAGCTTTCTTCTCACTAATACAGGTTTCAAGTTCCTTAAAACTTCTTCATAATAAACCCCCAGGATCATCCTGTGTCCTTTGAGAAATCTGTCGAGATGAACCCTCTGGGGTCCCAAACAAGAGTTTCCATAGCATTCTAAGCTGACCTCTCTGCCTTGAATTTAACTGGCCCAGCAGACCTGCTTGGAAGCCACTGTTTTGATTGGACCTTTTTTGGTTTAAATGCACCTTAAGGAGACTGTTGTTGCTAAGTAGCTCCGTGTTAGTCTTGACTCATAGTGACCCTGTATAGGGTTTTCAAGGAGCAGCTGGTGAATTTGAACTGCTGACCTTGTGGTTCAAACTGGCCTTGCGGTCTAGTACTTTAGCCACAGCCCCACACCAGGACTCCAAAGGAGACTAAGACAAGCGTATTACTCAGAGAACTTGTGTGCAGCATTCACTGATTGCAGAGACATGTTTAAACACATTTTGTTTGGAATAAACCTATGCATATAGGAGGGAGGGAGTTCTGGTGTGGCACTGTGGGCTAATGCACTGGACTGCAAAGTCTGTTTGAACCTCAAGGTCGGCAGTTCAAGCTCACCAGTCGCTCCTTGGAAACCCTACACAGGGCTGCTATGAGTCACAACTGACTTGATGGCACTTAACCAACCACCACCACCACCAATGGAGGCAGGCCCTAAAGATGAAGCCAGGATCGCTGAGCTTGGGAGCAGTTATTAGCTGTCCAAATCAACTCAGATTGGAGGCATCTCAGTTAATGTCCTGATAAAGAAGGCATAATATTTGAGGTTTCTATCAGCAAGAAGCCAGGGCAGAAAAATGTACCCCTCCTCTTCCTCACCCAGAACAAACAGTGATGTTTCTGGGAGAGAGGTAGGTGATTGAAGATTACCAGAAACTCTTTAACAGGGTCAGTATGAGTCAGAACCACCTTGATGGCACTTAACAACAACAACAACAACAACACTACAAGAAATTTGTTGTTGTTGTTAAATGCCATCAAGTATGTTTCTGACTCAGAGCAACCCTGTACAGGGTTTCAGAGAAGCGGCTGGTAGGTGTGAAACACAAACTTGTGGTTAGCAGTATAGTGTAACTTATAGCACCACACCAGGAAAAAGTAGGATTATACAAATCATCACATCACTCACAACCTCACTTATTCAGTCAACAAAGTTGGGGTACCCTCTGAGAGCCAGATAATGTGATAATGTCCACAGACCTAAGGCTGAACGTGACATACTCCCATCTTCTGCCATTTCACATTCTGGAACAGGACACAGACAGGAAAGTATTGTATACATACAATACAGAGTGATGAGTGCTGGAATCAAGTCTATCTGAGATGTTAGGGGGGCCTAAGGTAAGGACAGACTCTTCTGGTCTCAATTGGTACAAGTGGTGGTGGTAGTGGTGGTGGTGGTGGTTATGTGCCATGGAGTCAGTTCCGACTCATAGCGACCCTGTACAGGGTTTCCGAGGCTGTAAATGTTTACAGGAACAGAAAGCCTCCTCTTTCTCCCGTGGAGCAGCTGGTGGTTTCGAACTGCTGACCTTGAGGTTAGCAGTCCATCTCGTAACCAGTAAGTACTCTTACCAGTGGCTCCTTAATCAGTAGGATTTGTAAGTACATGTAGTTACAGAATATCACTTACATTAAACGAAACTGCAGCAGAGCCAGAAAGAAAAGATGTGCTTGGCTATTTGCTGGTATTTAATGTTGTTGTTGGAGCCCTAGTGTGACACTGTGGGCTAATGCGTCAGACTGCAAAGCCATCTGAAATGCAAGGTCGGCGGTTCAAGCTCACCAACTGCTTCTCGGAAACCCTACACAGGGTCGATATGGATCGGAATCGACTCGATGGCACTTAACAACAACAACAACAACAACAAATGTTAAGTGTCATTGAGTTGATAATAACTCAGTGATCCTGTATAGGGTTTCTAAGGAGCAGCTGCTGGGTCTAAACTGCTGACCTTCCAGCATCAGTTGGGTGCTGCTCCTACAGTGCCACAGGTGTTTCACAGATGTTGCTAATAGCTGGATATTGATACGAGTGGGGAGAAGCACTATGTAGACAGCACTTCAGCAGTCCTCCCCCACATATGTTTGCATTTATTACGTTTCTATAAAGATTTTGTTATTTATAGTCAGGATGCTGACCTCATCTTCACAATCCCCCTGGAATGACCAGCTCAGGGTGGGTACATAAAATAAAAACGACTTGCACATTAGGTCTAATTTCAAGTGCATCATATGTAAGACACCTCATTTACCATTACGGACTCCATTTTATAGATGCAGAAACTGAGGGACTAGAAGATCAATTATACAGCTGTTAACTAGAGAAATCAATACTGAAACTGAGGTCATATGGCTCCAGTCTCAGCTCTCCCTTAAGTCATATTACAAGTGTTTCTTCAAGACAAACCAAAAAAGCAAACAAAGAAAAAAGTGTGGTCACTGGCTTAAAACTCAGGACACAAATGACAAGACTCAACTTTCACATAACCCTTTTCTACGGAGGATGGGAGAATTTAGGATTAAGGGCCTAAAACCCTCTGAACTTTTAGACAATATTCGTTGATAGGACTGTTTCTATGTCATTTTGCTGTTTTTGTCCCAATCCATTTGTATTTTCCTTGTGTGTATTAACTATTAACTATCTAAACCATACTGCCAATTATTGCTATCTAATTTGCTTATGTTTTATTCTTTTTCTTCTGAAAATGCTAAGGGGAGATTCATGTTTTCAGTTCTCCTCTCTTCTAACTATCTAAATTCAATCAAGACCACATCATTTCCTCAAGCTACAAGTACCGCGCTCTCGTCTAAGAGATGAGAAGAGAGAGGTGGTGTAGGTTTGAAGGAATCTCTTGACTGCAGACTCATCCTTTTTCTGGGTCATAAGGGCCAAGCTTACAGCGGACCAATACAAATGGCCAAAGACGTTCTAAGTGGGGAAGGGCTAAGCTAGACGGGCAATGTCTTTTCTATTTCAAATTGTGGTCTCTCCAAGGTGTTCCAGCAATGGACTGGGGGTGGGAGGAGAAGCTGAATGACAGCAGGAAGACTAAGCTTACAGTTTCCATGACCCTTTTCCTGAAATCCTGAACATTTCTGAACTACTGACACACAGCAGAGCGTGACTGCTATGACATTTCTCACTCTCTTTCTGATGGACAGACATAAGGTGGTCACATCCTAATGTCCTTTTTATTGTGCTGTGGGAGCCTAAGCAAACTCCCTTAAGTTTCTGCACATCTCTGAGTATAGTCCCTACTTGAATAGGCAGAAAACAGCTAGGTTTAACCCTCCCCACTCCTCCTCCTGCACAAACGTGCACTCTCTGAGAACAAGAGATACCCCACGTACCATTAACACATTCAAAGACATCACAGCACTTTCCTGGTGTCCCATCTCCACGAGAGACTATGCGGGGAGTGGATCCCACCTCACACACGGGGAAACCACATAAGCCAGAGAGACACTCGCATCTGAAACCAAAGAAAAGGGAAGGAAAACCCCATGAATAAACAACAACATAGAAGTCGGGAGACCACAAACAAAGAGGCAGTGGTTGTGGCAAAGTAACTGGCATATATTTTTAACACTGCCTTGTTTATCTGGTGTCACTGGGGAGCGAGGGGTTCTAATGTGATTTGTACTCCAAATAATCAAGGTGCATCTCCTTAATAATATACTCCATTTGTATAAACTTTCAACCATTTTGAGAGATAGTCCTAAAATGCATCACTGCATTTCTTACTTAACAGAATGAGAGTGAGCACAGCAAACATTTTCTGGATGAATTGAGGCCATTGTTACATGTATACATTCTTGTATTATTCAGAAAACCAATGGTGATGATGCCTGTATGGGCTTATACAAAACGTTGCCTCCTGCATTTTTAAATGACCTCATGTAGCTATTTTGTTGCTGTTAATGTTTAGGTCTTTTTCAGATATTTTCTGATTCTACTTTTGACTACCTCACAGAAAAGTTTTGTCAGTGAATACCCCTTCCCTACCCCCGCCCCATCTTGAGCAGCACTGATCTTATAATTATATTTACTAGCAGAAGGAAATTTCTGATCAAAGACTGAGGAGCTCTTTATAAACACAGAGCATGAGCTTTAATAAATGGATGTGTGCAACACCTCTCTTGAAAGTGCGAAGCATTCATTTCTGGAGCATCTAAACTATCACGGACATGGGTCTCTATAAGCATGAAAGAGGTCGGTGTTAATGAACTGCAAGCTAGCACCACTGGTTGTCACCCTTAACTTCAAGTCTGTTGTCAAACTTGCCTATACAGACAAACACAAAAACACAATAAACGGGGGCAGATAAAATTAGGAGGAAAAAAATGGAGTCAACTGTCTGGCACTGATGGGCTACAATGTACCTGTTAGACGTCATTAGAAATGTTACTGCCGCCTGCTATCGAGTCATGGTGGCCCTGTGTATACTGCGAACAGCCGTTATGTACCATAGGATTTTCATTAGTTTTTTGTTTTGTTTTTTAAAGTAGATCACTAGATAGATTTGTCTTCTTAGTCTATCTCAGCCTGGAAGCTCTGTTGAAACCAGCTACTAACAGGCTGTTTCACTAATAGATGGTGGCTGCGCCTGAGGAACACTGGCTGAAATTGAACCCAGGTCTCCCACATGGAAGGCAAGAATTCTACCACTTAACTACTTTTGCCCCTTGAATGAGGTAGGAGGTAGGAAGTGTGTCAGCAGGGTGTCAGTGTATAAATGTTAATACCAGGAAGGAGGAGGTGGTCTATTGTTTGAAGACTCCCCTGAGGGTAGAAGCATAGACTAGAAGTGGGAAAGAGCAAGGGAGGGAGATCCCAAGTTGACAAGTACAAAAGGAAGGCATCCTACACAAGGACATCCTCCCAGCAAGTATGTGGGTATATATGTAGAGTAGAGGTCAAGATCAAGGCAGGGTCATTTCCAGCAGGGAACAACTAAGAACACCTTCATCAATTCTATTTTTTCCCTATTTAAATGGAATGGTTTAGTCTCTTACTGTTCTTCAAATCTTTAATAAGTGAAAGTATGCCTAGAGTCCACAATACCTCAGCGATCAAGCCTGGAAGTTTGTTACACTTATAGCTAACTGTAGAACTACAAAGGAAATGAATGTTAAAATTTACACCAAAAACCACACTTAACCTGCTCAAAGTCATAAATGATCCCACCCACAAGGCAGGTCCTTCTGGCTTCTCCCATTTAGGGTAATGGCTATATTGGAAATCCTGGGAGAAGAGGGTATTAAATAATTAAGGTTTGGCTGCTACACTTTAAATCAAGACTTTACTCTTATTTCATAGTCTGTTTTCCTACAGGACAATCATCTTGGAGTCTTGGCATAGCACTATAAGGTAAGTACTGGACTACTAACCACTAGGTAGGTGGTTGAGTTGGAAGGGACTCAACGGCATTTAATAACGTTAACAATTCCTATAGGACAATCACCCTCTCGGGGCTGAGTAAATATGAACTGGGTTTGCAGTTCCTGCTAAGGCTATGCTATGGTCTTTAACTTTTATGTGTCTGGCTACTACAGTTTTACACACATAATCGTATCACTGTTATGTTACAGCAGCAATATATTGTTGACATTGATTGTACTGGACATTCTGTACAACTTAAACTTCTTAGAGTTCACAGAATAATAGGGCTTAGGTCACATTCTGATCCCAATATCTAAACAGGATCACAACAAAAGTCATCCTGTAAGAACAGTGGAGTAATCTTCCCTTATACATCTCCTAGGATTCACATTCCCACCTACTAATGTGTTCCAGGGAATTGGTCTATTTTAAACATCAAGCATACCAATTAACACCAACCCTGGCCCCCAAATTATCTCTTCAAATGCTGTCCTTCAACATTTCAGCAGCTCTCCTGAACACTGTATGTACTTCCAATGTGCCAAATGCTAGTAGTTATCTGAAGCCATTAGAAATCCTGCCAGGCTGAGGCCCATGCCTGCCTGTCCTCAACTCTCTTTCTTTCATATTTAATCTATTTTCCAATTTAAGTATCTAATTACAGGGTCACTATGGGTCGGAATCGATATGACAGCACTTTACAACAACACTTTACAACAACAACAACAACTGCTTTCTCAATTCCCTAGGTGGTACAAACGGTTAAGCACTTGACTACCAACTGAAGGTTGGCTGCTTTTGTCCATCTGGAGGAGCCATGGAGGAAAGGCCTGGCATGCTACTTCAGAAAAATCAACCACTGGAAACCCAAGGGAGCACAGTTTTATATGAACATATGGGGTCACACCATTAGTCAGAATCAACTCCACAGAGATTGGCTTTGGTTTTTACTGTTTTCCTAGACCTAAGCAGGTTGTCCCTATTACATAGCAGGAGTCTATTTACCTATTTAAGAACGAAAAGCCCTGTATCGTGAATCTTCATTTCTAAGCTCAGAATGATAATGTATTAAAGATCCCAGGATTGACAATCGCTGGTTTTTGCCAGCTGCATGCTCCCTCCTTCCTTGCCCCTTCTGTCCTTTGCCTTTGCCCCTCCTCAACTGTGACAGAGTTTTGACTTCTTAAAGCTTCCTCTGAATCTGGAGATGAGCAGAGTTGAGGGAGCAACTAGTGAAGAAACTTGAGAGAGAAAGACAGACTCTGGGCTCAGGTCAGATATTGATCATGCAACAACCTACCTATTAGGTTGAAGCTTTATGAAACTGCTATTTTTGCAGGTCAAAATCAGACAAACAGCAATTCCATACAGTTCAACACAATGCAGGTCACATGATGTATCTTTTGATCTATGTCTCTACATTCACTCTCTCAGGTAACAAAACGCGAACAGACCCCTTTCATGACCCATGCTTACCAAGGAGTTTATTAGGTCTCCAGAATACAATGTCGTTTTTAAAAAAAATTCAATAAGATTATTTTAGATTCTCTGGTTTATTTATGCTGAGGGGATGTATCCTTCCATTTTCAAATAAAACAGTGAGAAGCACAGCAGAATCAATTGTCCAGAAATTAAATAGGTTCCCTGTTCTCTGTGTTTTCCACTCGAAGTGACAAGATTTCTTTTTTAGCTAGTCATTAGGAGGAAATGCTGACTTACAGAACTGAACCAATGCATACTGTACCTTGTTCTTACCAGTTCTCGCTCTTCACTTTATTTTTTTCCCTACCCTGTTCCTCCCTCTGGCTTTCCCCAATCCCTGGATACAGAGTAAGCAACGGGAAGGAGAAAGCATGTGTATTAGAGATAGAGGAAACAAACTAACAGATGAGAAAGCGATGCTTGGTTAAGTAGATGCCACCACTTTCCTTCAGTTCTGAAAACATCACGCTTTCCAGCTGTAACCTGGTCTCTGCCTCTTCAAACCCAGACCAGGCCCTGTGCTTTCTCTTCCTAAGGCTCAATTCCTGTGCTTCATTAGTTAAAAAAAAAAAAAAAATCTGCAGTTCTCCTCATTTCCATTATCAATCTCTCAGTCGACCAAGCTATGCTCTTCAAATTCACCATACTCATACTCTTTCTCCACTTCTACCTCCCAATATGCCCATTTGTTTTTCTCATGCTAAAATCAGCCTTAGAATCTTCAGATCCTAAGCTTGACTGCTAGCCAGCACTACTTGCTGGCTTCTCCACTTGCAATCTTTCTCTCCCAGTGGTATCTGTAGGCACATCACAAGTAACAGTTCCTTCTCAGCACCCTCAAACAAGATGACTTTCTGAAAGTGCTTCTCTGATCTGTTGTGGGTGACCTAAGTACCCACCTTACCATAGGCACAGTTTTCACTGATTATGTGTAGTCGCTATATGTTGTTGTTACATGCCGTAGAGTCGATTCTGACTCATAGGAACCAATATAGGGTTTTCCAAGGAGTGGCCGGTGAGTTTGAACCACCTACCTTGTGGTTCAAACTAACCTTGTGGTTCAAACTAACCTTGTGGTCCAGTGCTTATCCTACAGTGTAACACCAGGCCTCTAGTCACTATAAAAGTAAGTCTTCAATGGAAAAAAAGAGAAAGGCAAAAGGAAGTAGAAGGAAAACACTGGGATTTCTATGCTGTGAATTCATAAAGGCCACTGCAGGCAGAGATGCTATTTGCATGGCCCCCTAAGCAGAAATGCCAACAGCTTGTTTTCAATAACAGCTTTATTGAGATATAATTCACAAACCATAAAACTCACCCTTTTAAAGTGTACGAGTCAGTAGTTTTAGTGCATTCACAAGGTTATACAACCATCACCACTATCTAATTTTAGAACATTTTCATCACCCCAAAAAAGAAATCCCATTAAAAACTACTCCCCATTCCTCCCCTCTCCTGGCAATCACTAATCTACTTTCTATCTCTATGGATTTGCCTATTCTGGGCATTTCATCTAAATGGAATCATACATTATATGGGCTAAGGGCGTTTTAACTTCAAACAAGAAACAACCTGTTAGGCAATTTGCCAGATTAAGAAAGAAAAAAA